AAGGCTGTAAGTAGAGTCACTGGTTATGTGGCTTTAACTCAACTAACTGATATGATTGTTGGTTCATAGGAATTTCAATTCTTTCAGACAATTACCTGAAGATTTAGGAGATTATGCTATACAAGAAGAAATTAGAGGAAGATTTTCCTATTCTCGAAAAGATGTTGAAAATAAAACGGTTGTCCTCAAAGGTTCATTAACAAGTACAGAAGTTTTGAAGGCTGAAATGAAACTGGAAAGTCCTGGGTTCCAATGAGTCCCAGTCTACTAGGACAAAACAGTTAGCTGTCCAATAGTCCCTGGTGGTTTTCAATGGTTCTCTAACTGACATCAATCCGTGGTCGAACTTGAAACATACCATTATTTAGCACGAGTGTTGTGTAATGAAGGGAACAAAATTTCAGAAACGAGCTTAAAAACCTACTTTTCAATATGTACACAATGCTGGAAATTCTATTCTGCATGAAAAGTGATAAATAAACTTGCTAAAACTCAAACTGACTGTTGGGTTATCAACTGGCTGCCTGCTTTTTTCACAGGAAGAAAGCAGTACACTGTATGTCAGGAGGAAGTTGTCCGCTGAAGCTGGAGTCCCTCAAAGTGCTGTTCTTTTCTCCTTTTCTGTTTTCTTTCTTCTTGTATGCCTTGCATCACTCTGAGGATGATGATGATGATGATGATGATGAAATGAACTTTGTTAAGTATGCAGACGATGTAACCGTTTCAATGCCTGTTAACTTCCAGTTAGCCTGTATTAAGATGAAGAGCTTCCTGTCATAAGTCAGCAAAGGGTCTTTGTCTAATGGTTAGTCTTAAACTAAATCCTTCCAAATGTCAGACTGTTAATATCATTTTCCGATGTAAAAGAAAGTTAAGTTAAATGATGCTGTTAAGTCCTATGACTGTCGCAAAATTGATGATAGTGATATAGAAATCAAGTCTGATGTTAAGTATCTTGGAATAATTCTATCTTCTGATCTATCCTGGTCTTCCCATTTCTTGGCGATTTCTAAAAAAAAATATTTTGTCTCTCTATTTTATGAAATTAATTTACTTAGGAATAACTCACCCCCTCCTCCTTTTACAGTTTGTTAACTCGAGCATCTTACTTATTTTTCTTTACTGTTCACCCTTATTCTTTCCTGGGTTACTTAGAAAAGACTATGTCATACTTCGTAGGACTCTGAACACTGTCAATAGGGTGAGTGGTATCCGACTGGGTCATATCACTGCAATCGTCATTAAAGATGGGCATCTGATTTTGTCAGAATATGAGCATCCACCTCACCTTTCACCTTGTGTCTCTTCAGGTAAAACAAGAAGTCATTTCAAAAAACTTTATGCATCCACATCTAAGTATAAAAAATCCACTATACCCCATATTTGGCACATATTTCATATGATGAAAATAGTGTCAGGCACGAATTAACTAACTAACCTTCTCTGCACTAGTAAATAAACAAATTTCTCCATCCTTATTTTACCAAGCTTTAATATTATTATCCTTCTTATATTTGTAGTCCTCTAATTTTTTGTGTGTTTATTTTGTAAGTAAAAACACAGTTTTTGTTCAGCGAAGAAATTTCTTTTCAACGACTTCATTTTCAAGCTGTACAGTCGTATTTATATTACACAAAAGGTCATTAAGTGGCACTAAATAATTGCTCAGTCAATATACATATATGTGATAAGAATAACGATTATTAAAATCTTATAAGGGGTAGAGTTGAAGTGGATAAATTACAAAATTATTAAAGATTGTTTTATAAGTGAATTGACAAAAGAACACAAAAGACAGCTTAATGAATTGCTTAACAACAAAAACATAATACTGATTCGTCCAGACAAAGGATCAGGTATTGTCATTCTTAATCGTGATGACTATGTCAACAAACTATGTACCATTCTGAGTGATGAAGATAAATTTCAAAAATCACCTGATCAAAAAGACAAGACAGAGAACATTGAGAAAGAATTATCAAAAACTTTGATAAAACTAAAGCAAGAATGCGTCATTACTCCATATATGTTTGATCAGCTTAAACCATCTGGTTCAACTATCCCCCGTTTATATGGTCTTCCAAAGGTGCACAAAGATGATGTCCCTCTGCGACCTGTATTGGATATGCTGAATTCACCGTATCACCCTACCGCTAAGTGGCTTGCGGAAATTCTGGAACCAGTGAGATTAAATCTATGTAAACATAGTCTTTCGGATACTTTTGACTTTGTCAGTTATGTTGATGAAATTAATGTGTCTGGTAAGCATATGATTTCGCTAGATGTTTGTTCTTTGTTCACAAATGTACCACTAGTAGACACTATCTGCTATCTATGTGAGTATATTGATTCAAATAGCATGAACATTGGGTTACCAACTGAAGATCTTAAACAATTATTACTGAGATGCACACTGAATGTGCAATTTAGATTTAATGATGTCATCTATAATCAAAGGGATGGAGTCGCAATGGGTTCTCCTTTAGGACCGCTCTTAGCGGACGTCTTCATGGCTAGCTTAGAGAATGGCCCACTAAAGGAAACCATCGATAGTTTGTCTATGTATAAAAGATATATAGACGACACTTTCATTGTATGTGACGAAAACTCTTCAACTGCTGAACTTCTTGGAATATTTAATGGTTCTCACCCATCTTTGCTTTTCACGGTCGAAGAAGAGTCGAATTCCTCATTTCACTTCCTTGATGTAAAGCTAGATAGAAGAGAGAATGGTACGTTGCTAAGGTCTATTTACCGAAAGCCAACATTCACTGGGCAGTACACTAACTTCAACAGTTGGGTACCGTTAGGGAGGAAGAGAAATCTTATTCATTCCTTATGCTCTAGAATTCGTAAAATCTGCTCTGCAGAGACAATCGACAGTGAACTAGATAAGCTTCGATCAAATCTCCTTAATAATGGTTATCCTACAAGGTTTATCGAACGTAACATCAAGAAAGAACACGCCCCTAGACAAATTACAGTGCCGAAGAAAAAACTGTTTATGAGTCTGGCATTCAAAGGTGACACCATTTCGGAATTGATTAAAAATCGTTTATCTAAATGTATTAAACGTACTTTTCCTGCAGCTGACTTACAACTAGTTTTTACCAGCCGAAATATGATCAGACAATGCGTCAAGGATAGATTACCGCTTTTGTCCACATCCATGTGTATTTACTCTTTTACCTGCTCTTGTGGAGCGGTTTATATTGGACGTTGTAAGCGTAATCTCCGAAAACGTGTAGCTGAACACTATCCAGTCTGGTTAATGAAAGGCGAACGTAGAACCGCGAAGTCGTCTATCTGTGATCACCTGTTAGAGTCAGGTCATTTAGCCCCACGTGATTCATCTTTCAAAGTTATCTACATGGCAAAATCGAATCGATCCAAAAGTTTACGTTTTCTTCACTTATGCATAGCCGAAGCTTTAGCTATACATGAACAGAAACCTAAATTATGTGTTCAAAAACGTTTTGTCAAACCCCTTTCTTTACCTTGGTCATAGTAATGTTCTTTCTAGTTTTTACTTTATTTTATTTTACCACTTGAATTCTTTCCACTTCACTTCACATCTTCATTCTTATCGTAATCGTACTTTTATTTGATAAAATTTTTTTAGACAACACTTGACCTTTTTAAAACATTTTTCAATTCACTTATAAAACAATCTTTAATAATTTTGTAATTTATCCACTTCAACTCTACCCCTTATAAGATTTTAATAATCGTTATTCTTATCACATATATGTATATTGACTGAGCAATTATTTAGTGCCACTTAATGACCTTTTGTGTAATATAAATACGACTGTACAGCTTGAAAATGAAGTCGTTGAAAAGAAATTTCTTCGCTGAACAAAAACTGTGTTTTTACTTATGAATAAATGGGTATTTTTCGTGTTTATTTTGTCATAAGTGTAAACATTATTTAAGCTGTGTAATAACTGATATTTTTTGTTTTTCCCCTCACTATACTATTTCAAGAGAACATTAGATCCAATATTCTATAACATACTAACATTTCCAAACTGTATCGATAATATAATTTGAAATAAACTCACTGGTATTATTATTATGAGATGCTCACTAGCGACTGTTCATATTCAGGTAGGTAGTTACCTGGAGTTCTGGTGGGAAATAGCGACCATTGGGGTACAGAAGGTCGGGAGTGAGGACAAATACACGCCACCAATGACATCGACTAGTGGTCACGCTGTGTTGTGAATTGGTAGAAGTTAGAATTCATGGCCTGGCCAGTGGATCTGATCTTAGTAGCTTAATCGTCTATGAACTCGCTAGCCATGTAACCAGAAGTTCGTAGGTTCGAACCATGGTGGTGGGTGTGTACCACTGAAGAGTCGCAGACTAGGACGAAACAGCCGTCCAATACGTCGTGCAGGTTCTTCAATGGTTCTATGACCGATATCAGCTCATGATGAAATCCTGTAACCATTCATTTATTATTATTACTATTGTTATTATTATAGTTAATATTCTCATTTTGTACTTTACACATTTTTGACATTATTCCTACGGTAAACGTGGACAAATTCCCATGGTTACTTTCATTTATATTTTGAGTAAATTAGATGCAATACTGTGACAAAATGCTGAGAATTCCATGCGGTATTATAAGTCCTGCTATTGGAATAAAGCAGATTAATATTATTGTTATTATCACTATTGTTTGAAATCAGGCCATTGTAATTATTATATTTCCTTATTATATTCCTTCCCTGGGATGATATTTTTCCCACGAGGTGAAGGAAGTATAACTCAACAACCAATCATTTGATGAGCCGTATTCACCTTTTTAAAACTATTCTTTCATTTCCCTATTTTTGATTGGTTATTTTTTTGTAACATTAGAGAAAAGAAAGGTGATTTGAACTCAGTGTGATTTTTATTCAAATCAGACTGGAAAAAAATAGGCAGAGCAGGAAAGTAGACAACGCGAAAAAATACTGGGTGGAATTCAAACACGTATTATCGGTTACATGAATAGTTTACCCGGAAAATCTTTTTCAAACATTAATGGAATTAATAATTCCAATAAAACTTATTATTATAAAGAAATGATTTATGCCAAAGATGGTTATACCGTACATCCCACAGGAAAGCCAGTGATAAGGAATCCAGCAACTAATCGTTTGAATATTAATCAGTGTAATAATACCTATAATTGCTTACCAACACAAATAGCAGCAATGTACGGGAATCCCAGGAATAATTTCTGCAGACTTGATTCATCAAACCTTCAGTTGTATTCAGCACAAAACCAGACATCTTCGCCGTCTTCAAATTCAAATTCTTCGTCTTGTCTGATGTCTTCTCAGTCAGCAGTGATGTCAACAACAACATCCCCGACAATATCAACATTACCAATGGGTATGATAGATGAAGTTAGATTAAATCAGGTGGAATGGATACAACAGTTAAATACACAAGGGAAACTCCCCTCTCCTCATAGCCTACTTCCATGTATGATGATGGTGAGAAAGGTGTCTTCAGATAGTAATAACAACAATACTACTACTAACACTACTAATGATAATAATAGTAGTAGAGTCAACGATATTACCCCATTGAACAATAAATTCCTTAAATCTAATGATGAAAGACATTCTCTAGCCTATAGACAAATAGAATCATTGATGAGATCTAAAGAGATATTGACAAGTCAACAAAAGAATCAAGACATCAATAATGCTGTTAATGCTTACAAGGAAGAAGTTGGTGAGGATGAAAATAATTCTTCTAGTGCATGTACTGTTGAGTATGATGATGATGATAACACCAACAGTAATGATCATGAGGATGTAGATGGTGAGGAGGAGGAGGAGGAGGACGTTGAAGACGATGCCGATGTTCAACATTTATGTCAGGTAAGCTAATTAATTTTTTTGTTTTTGTATTTTTAATATATTTATGCGTTGAAGTTTCTGTAGCAATTTGGTCAAGTTTTGGGGGTGGATTCGCTAGCACCACGCCCCAACTCTCCCTCTTTAATCCGGACTTGGGACCAGCTAGAAAACTAGTGAGCTAGTAATTTAGGTGAAACCAATCTGGAAATCTTCGTCAGTCAGCCTGCATCAACAACAAAATTCGGATTTTCAATACAAACGTCAAGTCAGTCACTTCTATACGGATCAGAAACTTGGCGGGTCACAAAGAATATTTATTTCCAACAGCCTGTTGCAGACCTTTATCAACAACTGTCTTCGTTCTATACTCAAGATCAGATGGACGGAGAGAAAAAGAACCAACAAGAAACTATGGGAACAAACAGAAAAAGAACCAATCGCCCAACAAATATGCAGGAGAAAGTGGAGATGGATTGGACACTCCCTGAGGAGGCCACTGGATGACATCGCGCTTCAGGCCATCGCTCCAGTGGAACCCGAAAGGGAAGCTGCGAGTGGGACGTCGAAGGGTGACATGGAGGCGATCGTGTGAAGAGAAGTTGAAAAAGTATGGATTAACGTGGATGCAGGTGAAAAGTACAGCAGAGGACAGAAACAAGTGGAGACGTGTAGTTGAAGCCCTATGTTCCACTAGGAACCCAAGGGAACAATAATAATAATAATGATTATAAGCTAATTTATTTATCTTTTAATAAGGAAACATTATATCTAATGATAAGATCAGACGATATTCAATTATTATTTTTAGTTTTGTAATCTTCTCTGAGCTGGATAACTCAGCTGTTAGCCTTTCATTTGAAGCCAGCATTGAAGATACTATCCAGAAGAACAATGAAAGCATGCAGCCCAGAGAATACTACAAAACTGAAATCATCCACTGAGATTTACTTGTATAGACAATTGATTGATCTCATGGTACTCTGCCTTCCATTACCTTGATTATTATTATTTTCTTCTGGGCTCCACTTACGAAACAGTCTTTGCTATTGTTATTGTATAACTACAGATTAGATCGATAGATAGTCAGTCTGTCAGTCAGAATTTGAATTATACAAATATTGATTACACATATATATATATATATATATATATATATATATATTTGTGTCAGCCTGATAATCAACCAATCAGATTTCAGCACATTGATTACCACTTATTCATAATTAGCCCAATGCTGCAGCAATATAATTAGTTCATGATACTTTTTTGTATAACTTGTGTAATTACAGTACCTCTCAAACGCCTGTTTAGAAATCCAATTTTCCAATATTAATATTTGAGTCTTCTTGAAATTGTCAGTTCATATCAAGAAAAATCAACTAGGAAATTATTAAGCGTGTATTATTGTTGTTAACCACATTCATGCGGTAATTTAGTAAACATAACAATTATAGTGAAAAAAGTTGTGAAGACTGTCAGTAGGGTCAATGGTGTACTTTCTTGGCTAGTTTGTCGACGTCGTAGTTGATAGATATTTATATTATATTATTATTCCCTTGCGTTCCGAGTGGAATATAGGGCTTCAACAACACATCTCCACTTTGTCCTATTTTTTGAGGTCCTCTTCAACTGGATGGCCCCACAATTGTCCATAATCTCTCATCTCCTCCTCCTCGACACAGGATCTCCTCCATAGCACCATCGCTTGCCATTCGGATTCCACTCGAGCTACGGCCTGGTGCGCGATGTTATTGGCGCTCTCCTCAACATATGCCCGATCAATGAATCTCCATTTTCTCCTACACATTTGTTGAGCGATTGGATCTTGGTGGACATTTAGACTTATACAAAAAATTGACAAAAGTCATTTTATTGGACTTGGAGAGACTTCGCAGTCCCTGCAAAGTGAAGCAGCAATTGTCGGAGGCTTCCCGCTGGCACAATTAAATAGAAAAGAAAACTTGGTAGGCATTTTCGACGTTAAGGAAAAAAATGGAGTAATGATCAAGCATAATTCCAATATCTGCTTCAGTGGTTCAACAGTATAACGCTCTTCAGCCACGCCCCACATGGTCCGGGATTCGATCCTTGCCTGAAGTAATCCTTAAACCTCATTCGCTAGGCAGGTAGTAGAGTTAGTAAAGATGGAAGGTTGAGATAAGTGAGGCTGGCAACCCTACCACGCAAAAATAAAGCCGCTGATATTGAAGCTTCTTAGCTCTTGCGAATGAGCTGCTATTGAGATATATATACTACCATGAAATTATAAAATGGCAGCTATATAATAATTAACTTTGAATCTCTAAATATTCCCATTTTTAATATTAGAACAAGACATATAAGCGAACAATATTGTTGCTTTCAATTAGATCTTCAGGCTTTACTCTATTTTACATAGATTTATATATAAAAATTTTTAACCAATGACGGTGATTTTGTGGATCAAATAATAATAGTAATGTGGTAAATGCTTTGAATGTAGTTAATAACGATGATTATAATGATAACAAAATATTGATAATAAGGTTTATGCAGGTGGCGATAAGAATTACGAAGGTAGTAATACGTATGTATATGTAGACAATTCAATAAATAAATTAATTAAGTCAAATCTTAAAAGTTACGTAATACTCAAGGTGAAGTGGACAGGCAATCAGAATTTAAATAAATATCATAAAAGTACGAAGGAAATGGAAAATGAGAAAGGATGGGAGGGTTTTAATTAGAATTTACCTAGGTCAAGGGAGAGACAAAGGTAGAACTAACTTCTTTTTTGTACGCAGAAACCAGGATTGTTCTCTAGAATCCCTATAGTTTCGGCTAAGCGTAAAAGGCGAGTTCCAATCCTGTTCGAAAGGCTCGGTTGAATGCCGTTAGATTACCTGAAAGGCACTTCTTCTGTCCACTTGGTGACCATTAGCATCAATCAAATTAGACAAAATAGAATTTCTTATAGATTTTATTTGACCTGTTCCAAACCATGAATGAAGATGCTCGTTAATGCGTTTGTTAAGCTATCTAGTTGTTCGCCCTATATAACTCTCCCCACAGGAGCAACTAAATTTATAGATATACATAGATGTGGCGCAGCTAGGTAGCTTGTCCTTCACTTGAGCAATCATAATTGGTCGGCTGGAGCCGACTTTGAAGCCTACTGTCTACACAAATAGTTATCAAACAACACTTAGCGCCACAAACTAGCAGGGCAAGTTGATTGAAACCAGTGTGTCTAGAGGTATGTCGTATTATCACTCCTCTCCCATGAAATAGCACTCTGTTTGAACACTTTCAATAGTTAGTTTGCAATGATTTGACTTGTTTCAAGTCAGATCACCGATTGATATCAGTTAGGGAACCATTGAAAAACACCAGGGAGTCCTCAACAGCTAGCTGTTTCTTCCTAGTGGATTGGGACTGAATGGCGGTACGCAACCTTGTGCCAAGGTTCGAACCAAGAACCTTCCAGTTAGAACACAAGCTCGAAGAAACCATTCAGCCACTGAGATCCCATTCAATGATCAATAGGGACATTGGGGATTTAGATTTCTCGAAGCTGTGATGAATGGTTATGTATAATGAAATTGGATGATTAAAACTCTGTTGTCATGCTAGCTGCCGCGTTGTTCTTGTTAATTTTGTCATTATTACTATTATATTGGCATTAATCTGTTGGGTTCCGAGTGGAATATAGGGCTTCAACATGCTTCAACACATCTCCACTTTCTTCTATTTTCTTCTGCACTCTTCATCTGGCTGGGTCCATGATTGCCATATCCTCCTCCTCGCCACATGATCTCCTCCATGTCACCCTTGCACTGACGACCTACTCGTCTTTTCCCATACGGTTTCCACTTTAATGACGGCTTGGTACGCTATGTCATTCGACTGCCTCCTCAAAGTTTGCCCGATCTATCGCCATTTCTTCGGCATATTTGTTGAACAACTGACTCTTGGCTGGTCTGTCGCCAGAGTCCCTTAATGCTAATTCTTCCTGTCTCGCTATTAAATCTTCAGTATGGAGCCAGCGAAGAGGCCAGCTGTTGATAAAAGTCTGCTTCTGGCTGTTGGAAATCCTTTACATGTTGTGAAGTGCAAGTTTCTTATCCGTATAGACGAAGTGACTTTACATTAGCGTCAAAAATCCGAATTTTGTTGTTTATGCTGGTTGAGTTAGCTCAGAAGATTTCCAGACTGGTTTCAGCTTGATGAAGGTGTATCTTGCCCCTTTTATTCTAGCTGGCTTTGACATCTTTACCAGTTCTGACTGCCTGTATTTGAAACCGAGCTTCCTAGATGAGTGAAGGAAGTAACCTCATTCAAATCGCTCCCGTTGATGATGGTTGGTGCTGCTTGTTTATTTTCATCACCTCCATCTTCTCTGTGTTCGGTGCCTGCCAATTCTACCAGTTAGTTGGTTTTCGCCTGCAAGTCTTCGACTTTGTGTGACTTACATTAAACAAGTCATCCTCCACAAAATCCAGATCTTGTAGAGTCTTCTTGTAGGTGTGACGTATTTCTGTCTTCTTGCTCCCAACAGTCTGACGAATAATCTAATCAACACATAGTTTGCCTTTTCTGAATTCAGCTTGTTCCAGGCTGGCGTAGTTCTGCATCCAGTGCATATTTTATTCTCTCGAGGATGACACGACTTAGTATTTCACTTAGCGTGGACAATAACGTTATTCCACTCCAGTTCTTGCATAGTGAGGCGTAAGCCGCCCCTCTTTGGTAGCTTGACAACAAACCTTTTGCAATGATGGCGTGAGCGCGTCTGCCGCGGTCTTTGGGTCCGAACTTTATCCTCATGGAAAGCTGTAAACAGTAATAAGTAAGTTTGAATCAAGGAAAAATAGAAGTGTAGCCTTAAATCGAACTTCATAATTCGCAGATTAATTAACCATTTCCAAATTACACATTCCGAGGGGTGAAATCTCATCGAACGAGCGAAACGTTTGCCTGATGTTTAGATCACTTCAACCTGACTAGCAGGCCCTTCTGGCTGATATGTACTCGTATACAACACACTACTCATCTCAACCACTGATTATATTAATATAGAACTTGGGTACTGTGATCGAGTATAATTCCATCACAGAGCATATCTTACAGTGTTTTACAGTATTGCTTTCTGGTAACATTTCGAGCACAGTCTACTACTTATAACCATATCATCCTAATCCACCAGTAGTATATATATATTTATGCAAAAATACAACCTGTAAACCTCATCTCTTTTTCTTTTTTTCTTGATTTCTACAAACTTTTTCAAGGTGTGCGGTGATCGCAGCAGTGGTAAACACTATGGTCAGTATACATGTGAAGGATGTAAAAGCTTTTTCAAACGTTCTGTACGTAAATCAGCTAGTTATATTTGTCGGTCAGGTGGACAGTGTCCAGTCGATGCCCAACGACGTAATCAATGTCAAGCGTGTCGTATGTCAAGGTGTTTATTGGCAGGCATGAAAAAAGAATGTAAGTTTAAAGTTATGAATATTAGCTAGTTATATAACTTATTTATCAATAATAGTAGTGTCTTTTTGACTGGATACTAGTCAGCAACTAGTGTAGTGTGTGTGTGTGTTTGCACGTGTGGTAGTCCTATCTTTGGTGCAGAATGAATTCTATCAGTCTGTCAAGTTTGCAATGTGGCCAACATGCCACTGCTTGGTGACTTGCCATCACGGTGCACTGTGAATTGTCGGTATTAGATTGTTGTAGGCAATCGGCCGCAGGAAGTCTTGGACCTAGGTTACGTGCTAGTTGCTCATGAGTGCTAACTAGCTCGAAACTTAGGTCAGGCAAGGCTTCCTGTAACCGATTGCCTCCAACCATCTAGTACTAACAGTAGTTGTGTCTCTCGTTTGTAGGTCTCTAGTTTTTAACGAATTTGGTTGGTGTTAATTTAAATGTCATTGAAAAATCGATATTGATTAGAAAATAGACAAGAACCATGAATCACTGGGCAACTCTTAAGTTCTAGTGTCAAACCCTTCATTTCCTTGGAAATATAATCTTCCCGGAAGTCAACTATATGACCTTAAAGTTACAATGACGCAAAAAGGTTGACCTTATAGCTAGTGAGTTGGAATTTTGGAATTTATGAATCCACAGTATAACGCCATTGCAAACTGATACCATCCATCAGTAAGTATTCATTTCACACTTGACATGGTGTACTCAACTGGCCACAACATCTCGTCAAGACTTCAAGATATCTGTTCTGAAGTCAGATGCTAATGAACAGAAAAGTTAGGTTTTCAGAGATTTCATTACTTTCAAAGTAGATTCTGTCGGTTCATGACGAGTTACATGAATTCACTTCAAAGAAACAAAGACGACGAAGTGGGCCCAAAAGCAAAGAAGCGGATTCTTTTTCGGTGTAATGTATGATCCAGTGACAGCGAAGAATATTTTTTTAGAAATGTAACAGACATTTGCATTTCTTGATTAGTTTGTCTTAAGGCACTATGTGCAGAAAAGATGTATATACGAAAAGGTGACTGTTTCATGTCCTATTAGATATGATACTAAATCCTTACAATCTCATCAACAAACTTAATAATATTATCAAGATAAGGCTATTTTTAGATGAATTTTACATTCTCAAGAATTGGTTTTGTAGGTATTTTGTTTGATTGGTAGGAGGATCTCATCATGAGCTCACATCAGGTCGCAAATGACCTCCTGTAGGAATGTATTGGATAATTCAATTAGACACTAGTCAGTGAGTAGTGTAGTGTATCTAGTCCTTTCTTCGGCGCAGACTGAATTCTATCAGTCAGGTTTGGATCTCATAGGGGACATGTGTATCTTTAAGATTGCAGATACGCCTTGCTGATGAGTGCAGCTAGCACGAAACCCAGATCAGTCAAGGCTTCCTGCCAGTCTCCGCCAACTATCTAACATCAACAATTCAAAGTGCATCGTGATGGTGAGCCCCCTAGTGGCATGGTGGCCAAATTGCAAACTTGACTAATTGATAGAATTCAATCTGCACCGAAGGAAGGACTAGACACATCACACTAGTTACTAATGTCCGACCAAAGTATATATATATATATATTACCACCTCAGATTACTTTCATTCGTTGAATTTCATCAATACATTTCTGTGAACTATTTTCATAAGCTGCATAAACCATATTTAAACACTGTTGATTGGCTTCATCCATGAAAACGGGAAGACAAATTTGAAAAATAACATCAATGTAAACACCAGTGGTTGTGTTTATACGTGAATTATTATTATTATTAATTCCCTTGAGCAGTACACCTATTCTTCACACTATTTTCCTCAGTCTTTTTAGTTGCATTCTCGACTGTGCATGATCTCTCATATTCTCTCTACACGGTCTCCATACCACCCACGGATGCCCATGTTGTCGTCTCTCATTTGGGTTCCACTTGACCACCTAACATGATGTGATGTCATTAAACGATCTGCTCAAAGACAATGGATTCTTGGTTGATTCATCACCAGAGTGCATTGCTGCTAATCTTTCATGACCAGTCATTCGGTCTTCAGAATCGAGAGAAGGCAGCTATCTGAAGCTCTAAATCACTGAGTAGGCCTTAATGCTAAAACTTTCCGTCTTGTTCCCTCTGCTGAAAACTCAGGATTTCAGCATTGATTTAGGAGAAATGAACGGCTGCCTTACATTATTCTTCTTGGCTTCGATATACTTATCCGTGCTGTCTGTAGTTGAAATAATGCCTCTGAGGTAAGACCTTCATCAACAGCTGCCTTCGTTTAATAGTACTCAAGATGAGATGGCCAGAAAAGGTCAGCAACAGTGATCTCTGGGAGCGAACCAACCCAGCAGGAACTAATTATGTAACAAATATGCACGCTTCACTGGAATACCAGATTTCTAAAAATTCCCTGGCATTCTTGCTATTTCCTCTGTCTAATATTTGAACGTTGGTTGTCCCAGTCGAACTGATGTCTGTGGTTGTCTTTATGCAGTAAGTGATATGAGGGAGTGGATGTCATGTCTTTTGACGACTAGTTTGTGTTTATGCATGAGAAGAAAGAGAGGAGGACGTCCACTTTGGCTAATGGAGTGTTTTTCACAGCTGTTACAATTTATTTTGTAGATGATGTTGGTTTAATCTTCTTTCGCTGTTGAGTCTTTAATTTGACACAGCGCCAGCTGAGTGAAGTGATTTTGTTGGTTTGTGTGCGACACAAATTCCTATATATGGTAGGGCTATTTCCCTTGTGCTTTCCTTGGGGGCCTTTGATTTGGTAGGTTGGTTTGGGAGTAGATGTCCTTCGATGAAGTACCGTGGACATTCATTCTTCTAGAAGACGTCCATGAGATAACTTCCTTCAATTTTCTTAAGGTAGGAAGGAGTACTACAATGAGTCCTAGCTGGATCTCTTGAATAGTGTTTGTACACAACTCCTTTTGTGTGTTGTAATTGAGTATTTGATCTATGTTCCTTCCTTGGGACCGTCGATTCACAATGTAAAACTTATTGTTAACTAAACATTTTTTTTCTCTTCCTTCACGTTCCCAGGGGAACATGGGGCGCTTCAAGCTGGAGTCTTGAAGTTTCTGTAACAGTGGTGTTCATTTTTACAGGATGGGGTTGCTAGCCAGCCTCATGCCCAACCTTCCTTCTTTACCAGTCTTACTACTGGCTTAACGAGGTAAGGGAAGTGCGCCGGCCGGGGATCGAAGCCCGGACCATGTGAATGGTCGGCGAGCGTCCAAACCGCTGTGCCACCGACGCTTATCTAAACATACTTTATCAGAAATAAACAGAGAAATAGAGAGGCAGAGAGAGTGTGTGAGTGAAAAGTGCTGTTTCTATCTAGTGACAGTCAAACAGAGATAAAAATCATACACATTTCACCATTTCATTTGTGTTGCCTAGACTCTATGATGATCGGAGTGGAATTTCACTCATCTGTCTAAGCATAAACGCTGAATACACAAATTTATATTCAACTGAAGTATTACAACTGATCATATCATCATCATCACCATCATTACTGTCGTATACATTCATCATCATAATAGTGTAGAATAAATACCCTACCCTACCCTACCCGGTTAGATATTCGGTTATATAATAATAAATTTAAAAATAAAAACAGGCAAGCAAATGAGCCGATATCTAACTTTTTTTCAGGACACCAACCATCTCGTTGTTACTGTCACTATGACTGCTCCTGTATATATATATATATATTTGGCAAGTTAATTATACATTCCGACTTTCCAAAAGTTTAGAAAAAAACAAAAACATAAATTCTAACTTGTTTGTTGTTGTTTTTTTCTGAATATTTCACACGTGAATTGAATTCGTCCTCTGTTTTAAAAAAAAAATGCGAGAGTGTAAAACAAAAAAAACCAACATGTTGGGAGATTAGCCTGAATCTAGGAGGGTGGGTCGGTGAGTGGGTGGATAGATGGATGGATGGATGCGGAACTATGTCAGTATCCCACCTTCACCTCCCCATGCCAACACACACACACACTCACCTGATGAATATTTCATAACTATGCGTGTTTTCAGTAATCTATTCGGAGAGACAGAGAGAGAAGAAAACAGCTGAAGAGGCGATAGATAGATGGGTAGATAGATAAATAGATGGACGGTAGAGTGGAGGGTTAATAATAAACTGAGTGTTTCTGGAAAAAACTAACAACAACAACAACAGATAAACAGAATTTTAACGGATTGATGAATCGACTCTCATTGAACAATAAATATATACATATGTATATCGTGATGTAATCATAATGCGGGTGGAAAGTCAGTCAGTTAGCATTTTGTTTTTTTCGGGGCATAATATGACGGTACTTAGGGATTAGGGATTATCGAAAATAACCAAAAATAATAGTAATAATAGTCGTAGTAGTAGAAGTAGCGATAATAACGATCATAATAATAATAATTAGAGTAGTCATAATATTGGTAATAAATTTAATGAATAGATCCTCACAGAGAATAGAGTAGCGCAAAGATGAGATCGCATCACCAACACCAACACCACGATCACCACCACCACCAAAAACAACAGCAACAACAACAGCGACGAAAAAGGAGATAAGCCACTTGAGTGATATAGAGAGCAGCGATATAGAGAAGCAGAGAGACAGAGTGATAGATGGATAAAAACAAAAGGAGAATCCCACGAATATTTATTTGGTGTTAAACATATGTTGCATTTGTCAGCTATATGTTGTTGCATGTGTAAAGACCAATGTGGCATTAAAAATATATATATATAGTTTATGACCTGAGGCATCGATTGTAAGTAGTGGTAGTAGTAGTAGTAGTAGTAGGGTTAGAAAAAGGAAAAGTAAGCGAAAAGGCAAGCTGAATTTTGATAATCATACGCTTTTCCAAGTATTGGTTTTTGTAGGGGTGTTTTTGTTCGATTGGTTGGAGGATTTAACCGTAAATTTCTGGTTAATATATATATAGACAATGGGTTTGGCTTAACAAAAATGGCT